AAGAACCCTCTTTTAAGATTTCACTTATTCCTCTCTTTTCTTTAATTCCCTCTATTCTCTTCATCTTATTGTTAAAGATAATTTAAGCTCTTCTTATGCTTAATTATCACCTAATAATCAAAACTCAACCTTAAATTTCAGCTAATAATCAACAATAAGAAATCTTACCTTTGCTTGAGCTCTCACGTGGAGGAGGAAGAAGAAGGAGAAGAGTTTTCCAGATAACTCTCCCAGAAGCTTATCTCTTAATAAAGAGATAAGATAACTATCTTTAGATAACAAAGATCATTTTGCCCTTAATCTCCTTTAATAATTACTAATAACTTTCAGGAAATATCTCCACATAAATCATTGAACTATTCTACTTTTCTTCTTTTATCCCCAAATTCTAAAATTTTTACAATTTAGTCACTAACCCGGTATTGAGGATGTTACAAATCTCCCCTCCTTTTAAGAAAATTCGTCCTCGAATTTTCATTGTACATACCAATAAAAACATATCTTTTAATGTTCTTATGTAGCTTTCACAACTTTATCCCATCTTTATAACTTTAATAATCAGTTTTACTTATACAAAACCTTATTCTTCACCATCTCTTGCACTTATATTTTTCTTCCTCAAAACTCTCTTTAAAACTTGTAAATACTCTTCTCTTTGTCTTCATCATATCTATATATTCCAAATACAAAACCATATTCAAATCCATATCATACTTAATTAAATCACTTTATCTTAACTCACTTAATAATGTTCTTATGTTGCTTGCACTGTAGAATGCAACGATGCACTTCAAGGGGAAATTGAAATAAACATTTCTTTTGGTCTAAGAAATGATAGATTAGTGTATATCAATTGGATTCTGATATGTATCAATGTATGATTATATAGATATCGAGCACAAACAAGTCCGGGTCGATTGGCAAGTTAAGATTCGATCAAAAAAGAGGAAAATCATAAAGTGTATTGGAACGTAGTGAGGCCAAGGTGAGTGCACATTAGATAGTGTATTCTGTATTAATGGAAATAAGACTTGTTACAAGTCTATTTCCTATAGTAGAATGCATGAATTCATTAATATGAGCATATGTTTGACATGTTATGTGTGTGTTATTAATTGTTACATATGTTAATGATATGAGTGAATAAATGCTTATATGATACATGTTAATTGTCCATGATATATGCACACATGATAATATGATATAAGTTAAATTATGTAATATGATACATAACTATGAGATAAGTGAAGAAATGTATATATGATAGAGATTATGTATGTGATAAATGAATGATATGAAAAGTGACATGAACTACGTGAAAAGAATCTACCTGATTACAGGTACATGTGAAGAAGTTATGAGTTTATAAGAACATGTGATATGAATGTGTATATGTGATACTTGAAAGTGAATCATATTATTATATGAATATGAGAAATGATATGATAAAAGCTATGAGCATATGAGATATGACTATATGAAACGATATAAAAGAGAATGCCCATGTAAGTGTTAGGAGAGCTAGAGGTATAGTTGACATGCCAAGAGTCGAGGGTCTACGCGGTCCTTCGAGACATAGTGGTCCTTTGTGACATAGTGGTCCTTCGGGACATATGTGTTATATGTAGTCCTTTGGGACATCTACGTGGTCCTTCGGGACAAATTCTACGCGCCCCTAGTGGGAATTATACGTGCCCCTAGTGGGAATTATACGAGCTGTGGTGACAGCATAGTGCACAACCTCAATAGACTCATATATCTACAGTTCTCACATGTGTACATGGGCTAATAAAGAGATAATTATGAAATCAATGTATGTGATATATGTATATGAATTGCATGATATGATATATGTGTGATATGGGTTATTGTTTATGTTACATGAATATATGTTGATGTATATGTGAGTGAGTATAAATGACTTATATATGATGATATAAGAATTTTTTTATAAGTTATAGAATATGAATGTAAGAGATCATATGAATAAGAAATAAGAGATATGAAGTATAATAGTATGGGAGCAAGATAAAAACATAAATGATGATATGTATGTAATTGTTATATGAAAAGCATATGAGTGAGATGATTTGATATGATGTGTATGATATGATAATAATAGTTGTTCCTGTATGATTACAAGTTAGAGTTTACATTATATATATTTATTCGCCTCACTAAGTCATAGACTTAGCGTGTGAGTGTTTCACACGCAGGTTCTTACAAGCTTATGGATTGTTGAGGTGTAAGTCAGGTCAGCATTTTTCCTTACAAAGTTTCAGATCAGAAAATAGATGATTTAAATGTATTTTATGGTATAAAAATCTAGTTGGCATGTATTTAAAAGATTTGAATTGTATAAGCTCTGAATAGTTCTGTAAATGTTTTGAATAAGTTATATGTTATAAAAGTTTTTAAATTACTCACTATTTTATACAAGTAAATGTTTTAAAAAGTCAATGTGACACCTCAGACTCGGATCCAGGTCGGATTCGGGTTGGGGGTGTTACAGGTGGAGAGGGAGGAAACAAGCTATATATATATATATTGATTACATGCTGATTGGAAAACTCGTAAAGCACTTTTACAATAACAATTCTAAAAATAAATCATTTAATAAAAAGTCAACACTAAACGAAAAACTCATAAACCATCAACGTCGAATCAATATATATAGCTTGCTTCCTCTTTCTCCACCTCCCTACCATTGGGATTTGGAAGAAGATGCTTTATCACCCAAAAATCAAAGGGGATTCGAAACTAGGGTTTTTTTTCATAAAATGAAGAAAATTTTGGGGTCATTTTATAATTTTAAAAAAATTGATAATCATAACTTTGTTAAGTATTTAATGATGGAGTGATCAAAATAGGAGAAAATTGAATGTTTGGTAAGTAAATTAAAAAAACTATACTTTAATGAACATAATAGGAATGATAAGAAAGTAGAGTGATAATATTTATAATTTATCCTAAGAATATTATTATTTGTTGTAATCACCTATGATGCTAAAATTTGATATTCAATCCTTAACTTTAACTTACTAGTAGGTCCAAATTAATAACACCACTAATTATTGGTATATTAAGTTGATGTGTATGGGTGAATTTTCACATATCACTAATTTTATGCTCGATATCAAATTTAAAATCTCCTGCCAATTCAGACTAAAGTAATGTCTTTTATCATTATATTACATACTTGATTGACAAATAGATTATCACTTGAATTATGTCAAATTAACAAGGATTAAATCAAAAAATTTAGCGTAGTATGGGGACAAAAACCATAGTTAGACCTTGAATTTATTATTTCTCTACTTTTGCTCATAGTCAGCAGCTAGATGACCTGTCTCAATTGCAATTTGCAGCTAGCAATAAATTTATTGTTTGGTCCAACAAACATATTAAACTTTTTCTCTTTAAATAAATTTTTTCATATGTGCCAAAGTGTTGAGTCATCAAGAATTTTTTTATAAAATTAATACATAATATTTTGGTTTAAAATTATTTGTTTAAAATAAATTAATTTAAAATTATAAGTATCCTAAATTAAATTCAATCTAGTAAGATATTTTTTATTAACAAGAGTTGAAACAGATGTAGGAAAAAACTAATCTGCGATAATAGAAGATCACCATGCAAAGCAGCTATAACCTCACCAGGCAATATTCAGTCCTTCATAAGTATCTCCCAATCCAGTGTCAAGAATCCAGCAACACTCAATAGATTTAGAGAAACCTAAAACTCATTCGTCCAATATAAATTACTAACTTTAATTCAATTAGTTTAATAATTATGCTAATTGAATATTATAGTTTATTGTTTAATAATTATGCTAATTAAATATACTTAACCTGTTGGAACTTGGCGTCAGGAAATTCGATTTCCTTATAAAATTCCTTAAATTTCGGTCAATGTCATAAAAGCTAAAGTCATATCTAGTATAAAATGAAATCGACCATGCAATGATGCCATGAGTATTTTTAATAGTTATTAGTATTTAATTCATTAGTCAATTAATTTAAATTGAGTATCATAAAAATTTATTATAAGATAATTTCTTTTTTATTCATAATATTAAATCAACGGATAATTAATGGTATTTTTTATATTAAACACAATTTTCTTTTATTTTTTGCCAATGAGCATAAAATAACTTGGAGAAACGGGTTTCTTTTAAAAGGATAAAAAAAGAGGAGATGACTTTGAGAGAAAAAAAGTTTTTCTTTTCTTTTCTCTTAGCTAAGGGACTTTGGAAAAGGGATCATAAAGAATTTTTTAGTGACATTTACTTTGTTTGGGCATCAAAGAATTCACTTTATTTATTTAATATTTATAAAATATTGATAAAAATACAGTGATATTTATAAAATTCTGAAAAAAGTTTTACAATTTTATGTTTGTATCACGTAATCATTGTATATATCATTATTTAATGTATTTTTCGACCATTCAAGATATCTATGAGTTTATCTTATTATCTCCTACCTCACCTTTAGTATTTAATAGAAGATGTTTTATCATCTAGAATTAAAAGATAATTCGAAATTAGGATTTTTTTCACATAAAAGATAAAAAAATTTTGGAGTTATTTCATATTTTCTTGAGAAAATTGGCAATCATAACATCATTAAAATTTAATGACGTAATGATTAAAATAGGAACAAATAAAAAATCAATTAGTAAACTAAAAAAATAACTCCAAAGATCAAAATAAAAGTGATAAAATTTATAATTTATCTTAAAATATAAATAATAATAAAAAAATTATCTTAAAAAATAATTTTATCACAATAAATTAATTAACTCCCATTATCCAAAGAAATTACAAAACCAATTTAATTTGACTAATCCCCTATTTTGTTTAAAAATCAACCAATTAAAAAGTCCCACGTAAGCAAACTTACAGCGTAGCCACCACGCTATCGCGGCTTTTCTTGTTAAATCTGCCCTTTTTAAATAATTTTCTTTCCTTAGGTTACTAAATAAAAAAACTTTCCTCTCATTTCATATCTTTGTTCACTCTTTTTGTAATCGTGTGTTTCCTCAGATCTGTAAACGGAAAAATGGCGATGACGACGTCGTTTTGGTGTTATCATTGCAATCGGGTCGTCCGGCCTTTGAACCACCGCACCGTCAGTTGCCCCGATTGCTACGGAGGTTTCGTCGAAGAGATCGATAACAATCACGTCGGAAGTAATAGACTCACGCCACCGGCGATGTACACTTATCCTAACTACGGACCAACCGTCTTCCGCCGTGGACGACGTAATGGCGGCAATCGTTCTCTTTTTAATCCTGTTATCGTGTTACGCGGCGGAGCAGATACATCTGTTTCGCCCTCGCCTTCATCTGTTTCCGGGGGAGATTCTACTGTTGAACATAATGGAAGAGGGTTCGTGCTTTATTACGACGATGGGTCCGGTTCGGGTCTTCGGCCGTTGCCGCCGAGTATGTCGGAGTTTCTTTTGGGTTCCGGGTTTGACCGTTTGATCGATCAGTTGTCGCAAATGGAAATCCACAACACCGGGCCTAACGTGCAACCACCGGCGTCGAAAGCGGCGGTGGAAGCAATGCCGACGGTGGAAATCAACGAGACACATACTCGCGACGAACTGTGCTGCGCCGTTTGCAAAGAACAATTCGAAATAGGTACCAAAGTTCGAAACATGCCTTGCGATCATTTGTACCACTCCAACTGTATACTCCCATGGCTTCAATTGCGGAACTCGTGCCCCGTTTGCCGCCACGAATTACCAACCGCCGACGGTGAAGGAGCAGAAACCGATGGTGGGTATTCAAATTCGTCATCGGAGGTTCCCGTGGGGTTGACTATCTGGAGATTACCCGGTGGAGGGTTCGCTGTGGGGAGGTTTGCAGGAGGACTAAGAGGAGAGGGTGGAGAGAACAGAGAGTTCCCGGTTGTTTACACGGAGATGGACGGTGGTTTTAGAGGCGGAGGGCTTCCTCGGGGGGTTTCGTGGGGCAATAGAGGGAGGGAAAGAGGAGGGGTTTTCAGAAGATTTTTGGGCAACTTGTTTGGGCGTTTCAGTGGGTCAACCTCTTCTAATTCTACGTTAATTTCAAGGTAATTTTAAACCCTAAAATTATGAACGAAAATACCCCAAATCTTTTGTAAATATATTTAGGGGGGGTTTCTAAATTCACTATATTTTTGTCTAAGAACTGAAGAATTAAAAATGATATTAATGTGTATGTAATGAGTCTAATTATATTGATGTATAATAACTATATATTGAACTTCAAAAAAATCATTTCTTGTATCAACAATGTATGATGTAATGGTGTAATCGGTGTTGATGAAAATAAGTTTTGCGTCGATGGACCATTTTTCTTCCGTCAACGAATTGATCATGTTATTTACTCATCAAGTAACTTCCTATAATACATGATTTGATCCCCTGTTTCAAGTCTCAAAATAACATAATGTTTAGCTATAAAGCCGTGTCATCTCTCCCGTATAGCTAATCACTCTACTTGTTTCCTTCTTAAATCAACATTCAATTTCCTCGTCGGTTAATTTTATCTACATTCATACTTGTTCTAGAAATAGATTACACGAGTCAGGACTTTCATACGTACAATATAATACTCAAAACGGGTGAAAAATAAGCCCCTAACACAGGATTTCCATTCAAACTACAAAAATTGTTTATTACCATTTACAGACGTATAAATAAATTTCTAGTTATTATGATATTAATATTAAACTATACATCATTATTTGATCAATTAATAACCTGATATAATGATGCGCATATTATTCATTTTACCAATTAAAATTCTGATTTTACCGATTAAACAAACTATGTCATGTTAGTCGTGTTTTTAGAAAAACGCAATTAAAATGACATGTTTTTATTTTACGTGACATGTCTGATAAATAAATATTATTTATTATCTCTAGATGAATTAACACATCATTTATCCAAATTCATCGTTTCAATTTAATCCGTAAATGATCTCTTAATCTAATCTTATCATATTTAGATTTAGGGTTTGGTTTTCCATAACCCCGTTATGCAAATGATGGAACAAGCAATCGGTTGATGAGATCTGTTGCCAAAACAATTCCTTACAAAGCATGAAAGTCCTCAATTGTTGGACATGATATGATATGATATGGTGTGCATGTATGTACCTAGCTTTTGTTTGTTTAAGCCTTCTTCCTTGAAATATTTTGAGTTTATCAAATTTCAAATTGGATCCAATTTAATATGTGGGTTTTCCTCTTCTTTGAAATTCGAGTTCAATAGTTAGATGTAATAGGTTTTAATAAAATGTTCAAGGCCAAATACGAGGTTAAGTTTAAATCAAATTCAGATCATTACATCTTGAAAACTTTATCAAAATATTTCTCTTAAACCAAAATTTTCAAAAGTATTTTTTCACAACACTTTGTAAAAGCAATGTCGATTTGATGTTATATCCACTGCGAGCTTAAGGCGATTACTAAAAATGAGACCTGAGGCTCACCAAGTTCTGTCTTCTAGAACAAACAAAGTGAGGATATCTGGGATACTATTCAGGTTAAAAGACCTGAGGTACCTTGGCAAAAGCTGATTTGGTTCCCATTATATATTCCTAAACACAGTCTGATAATTTGGATTGCTTTACTTGACAGACTTCCTACAAAGGAAAGATTACAACAAATGAGGCTTATCAATGAATGTCATTGTGTTTTTTGTAATGCAACATTGGAAACAATGGACCATTTATTCCTTAAGTGTCCTATGGCAGATTACCTATGGAATGTTGTTTCTCCCTTACTGGTTTGTAGTATAAAGCTTAATCAAGGGAAGCTTTTTTCGCATGGACTAGTTCTACTTGGAAAGGTAAATCCCTGCTCACTACGATCATGAAGATTGCTTTGAATGCACCTATTTACATACTTTGGGAAGAAAGAAACAAAAGATTGTTCCAAGGTCGATCCAGGACTGTTGAAGATATGTTCTATGCCATTAAAGACATTGTTAGTTTACAATTAAGGGGTAGGAATATTAATAGAATCGATAGTGTTAATATTATTCTCTGTAATCATTGGGGTATAGTTGATCATTAATTCTTTTTATAAGTAGATCGATAAAATGTAATCAGAACTCTGATTGTTTTTTGTAGCAGTTTCTGCTCTTTGGGTAATAAAATTGAATTATCCAAAAAAAATGTCGATTTGATTCTCAGTTAAATAATTCAATCTTTTTGTGTTTAATATTTATGCAAACAAATAAAATCAATAAAAACTTTAATAAAATATTTAATTATTTTAATTAGAAGTTTGGTCTTAATTTTAACATTATATCATTTAATAAAATTTACAAAGTTTAAAGATAAATTATTAAATTATTATTCATATAAAATAAAATACTATAAAGATGTGTAAGTTAAATTACAATAATTTGATATTGTCATCTTGAACACAATGAAAGGTGTAAAATTAATTATTTTTTTTCATAATTAATCAAATACAATAATATAATTTATTTTTCATCCAACACGATAACACAATGCTAATAATTGACATTTAACAACCATGAGCTTATGTGATATTGTAGGAGGTCTCACCTACCTTGATTAATAGTCAAGGGTTTAATCTTTATCCTAAGTATAGATTAATCTTTATCCTAAGTATAGAATAATTTTATAATTCATAATCAATATTCTTTTATTTAAATTTATCAAACACATATAATTAATTATTAAATTTATTTCGATAAAATACATTAGGAAACCAAAATAATAGACTTTTAACCTTGTAATTCTATTTTCCAAATAAATCTAATTGGCATTATTCTCATTTTTTCTCTTCAAAAACAAGTAGTTCCCAAATTTGCATTTTCAACAAAGATGTGACAACTAAGATGTTTCTCTTGCCTTTTGGTAATGTTTTGACTATCCCCTCTCTTTTTAGAGAACTCAAAATGTTGGGCTTCTTTCACTTCAATCAATTTCTCAACTTGCATGAAATGAAAGATCATTGCTTCAAGTTAGGTTACTTGGAGCTTCACTTCTTAGGGTAAGGGATAGTTAAAGATGTGGGAGCTAAGACAACGAAGATAACATCAACGATAAAAATCAAACTAAAAGTGTGGAAAGTAAACTAGAAAATTAGGCATCCACTTGGAGATTGAATATCAAAATACGGAAACTCAAAGGCTCTAATATGGGATAGGTTTAGTATCTAATAGTCAAGTTTTGAGTTTGATCCAATCCGATTTCTAATTTTTAATTTGAGTCTAAATAGATTTTGAATTAATCGTTTATAGATATGAATGGATTTAAACAAAATTTGAGATTTATATTTCATATCAAGTCGGGATAATTTAGATAGCCATGATGTTAATGTCGTACATAGACTCAATCTGACTTAAATCATACACACTTCTAATAGGTAATGGAAGCAACAAATTTTCTTCATAAATCTTTTTTTTTTTTTGGGATAATTGGAAACATAGTTTGAAGATGAGAGGTTTGATTATTGGCCCTCCGTTAGAAATATGAAATGTAAGGCAAACTAGGATCTAAGTGTGCAAACCTAGCAATTACCCCTTTCTTCTCAGTATATAAAAGGGAAAAGGACACGAATAAATTATATTCAAGCCAAGTTGTAAGCTATATATAGTTTATACCTAGCAAGTTATATTGTGGGTGCAAATTTGATTAAGATATATAAATAGATGAACACGAAATTTAATTTACTTTCATTTATGAAGTTTTTTTAAATGCCATTCTTAAATTTCAATATATATAGGGTAAATTATATTTTTAGTCATGTAATTTTCAACATATTTCTATTTAGTTCATCTATCTTTTTAAAATTTTAGTTTTATCGTTAAACTTCCGAAATTGACTCTTTTAGGTCATTTTAGCATTAAGTCTTTAAAGTAATTTAATTTGTTTGCTAAATTTATGCAAAAATACCATAAAATGTTCCTTTTAAACCTAGATTTTTAGACTCTTTTTGATTAACCGACGCCATAGAATATTCGTCCAATATGAACTATGGGGAAATCGAAGAGCAAACATGGTTTGATTCCATACTGATTAAATGGTGGAGGTTGTAGATCAAACCAATATAAGGTTAAAGTTTTAATATAAGTTTTGTCAATTTCGAGTAAAACTAACCTAAGAAGAAGGGATAAAGAGAAACATTTTGGTACTAGTTACGTTGCGAATGATAGTCAATTGCAGTTGAATGATGATGAAGAAGGATATTGGCCATGGGGAAGGATATGGTTAAAAGTTTAGATCAATTTTACAAATAAAAAGCTCCAAACATTTAATGGTAGAATGATAAATAAGAGCAAAATTTGAGAGTTTAGTGATAAAGTGAAAACTCTGATGATTGAATGATCAAAACAAAAACATGTTAGAAGTAAGATGACTATACGTATAGTTTGAAAGATATAAACTCATTCAGTATTAATCATTTTTTAATCTGTTTTTAATCCCCTCTCGAAGGAATCGGGATGTATATGATAGTGATTGATGTCCTTAAACCCAAATAATAAAATAATGCTAAGGAAAAGTCTATGTATGATTAATAGGTCAATAATAATTCAATCTCTATGGATCATCTTTGATAATTTAGAATTTCAAGTATGCGTGTTGTGTTCCGTATTTTTATATTAATCGTGAATAAAATAAAAATTATTAGAATTTAATAAATGTGACTTACCGATACTATTTAATTATGTGTCTTGTCTATCACACTAATTTTATGACGTGTATATATATTGTATTTTAAATTTCGAGTTAATTGACCTAATCTAAAATGTTTTGTTGAGATACAAAGTACATAATTGATATCAATTTTTGATTTGTTTAATAGGATGAGGTATTAAGTTTTAAAGCAGAGGTCAAAGATTTGAATTATGTAGTTTTAAATAGAGAAAATTGGATTAAAACGGTTCTCTTTATCTATTATAATAAGTATATGCATAATCTGATCTAGATTAATCAGTAATGAATTAAATATCGATGATGTTATCAAAAAATAAATTAGTATCGATACTAAATGTTGAGTATTAGTACTTAATGAGCATACTAGAAAAATAGTTTTGAAATAGGTTTTAATAATTTTTCATTCTTTACAAATTAGTCCTAGAATATTCATTATAAAATGACAATAACATCCTT